CCCAACCCAGCCCACTACATCATTGCCTGCCCTTGACCCATCCTCTTTTGGCTAACAATAGCTGCCATACCTGTAGTATATGGTGATCAATTACTGCAGCTCCAAATGAGGGTTTTTTTTGTCATCGCACTGCAGTGAATGGGACCAGTGGGAATAACCTCCCTGCCCTCCCCCTAAATCCAGCACATTTAGGCTCTGATGCTGCAGCTAGTTCAGCTCTTCCATTCTTCTACATATACGGGTGTGTGCATGTGTGAAGGCTTAGGAGGAGCCTAGCAGGAGTCTGGTTGGGCATCAAGTTGCATATTAGATTGGCTGTTGAAGGAAATCAATTCACCTCCTGCAGATGCTGTTAATGTTGTTGATGTTGGCACTAGACAAAAGCTGGCGCTGGACTGGGAAGAAAGCATTCATCTTATTGAGTTTCTGTCAGTGCTGCAGGAGCATATGTGGGTTGCTTGCATTAATACTGTAGTAGAGACGGAGGAAAGGACATAAATGAATCCAGTCATCAGCTGATTTCCATTGTTACTCTGCAAAATGGGTGCAAATGTTCTTGGATTAAGCTGCTGGGGATAATGGGTACTGTCCTCCCAGGAAACAACGTAGCTGCAGAAATCCCACTGAAATGAATAGGTGAGGCACTGAAAGTCAATAAAGAGTGCTCTCTTCAGCACATTTAACACAGGGGATGCAAAGAGCTCGAGGGGAAAAAAAATCAAAATTGAGTGCTGCTTTGATCAACTGGAATCCCATCCCTTTTCCCAGTTCCATCTCAGTGGAACATGTGAAGGGAGTTTTCCCAGAGAAGAAGTGAGGCTTTGGGAGCAAGAAGCTCCCTGCTGGACCTCCCTGCGACCAGCAGTGAATCTGGAGGTCTTCCTGTCCATCATTTTAATAGGGGCTTGGGCAGCATCACTTTTCAGGAAGGCTGTTAATTTAGTCATAATCAAAAGGAAGGATTGTTGGAACTACAGGCTTGGGACCATTGCCTAAGCACCAATAAAGAGGCAGTCCGTGGTTTCAGTGCCACAAAGATCTGAGTTTCCTGCCAAGGCAAGGCAAGGTTTCTGTGCCAGCAAAATTCTGTGCCTGCAGAGTCAGTGAGGCAAAAACCATAAAATAGAGCAGTGTTTCTCAACCTTGGCAACTAAGAGATGTGGACTTCAACTCCCCGAATTCCCTAGCCAGCTGGCTGGGGAATTCTGGGAGTTGAAGTCCACATCTCTTAAAGTTGCCAAGGTTGAGAAACACTGAAATAGAGAGAAATGTTGCAGATGATACAAAGCTGACTTTGAATCTTTGATATTAAAGGTCGTGAGGACATACAAAATTTAACATTTCTCAGAAACTTCAAGGAAATGGGGAACAGGCAGAATGTGGTAGGGGACTTGACAGCAGCCCAAAAGTTTGTGATTTGTGAAATTCAGTCTTTACTACTCACCCTATTTTTTGGTCCTCATTATTCCTCTCCCTGGAAGAAGCCAGTGGCAAATCTCTTCAGAACTGTTGCCAAGAAAACTCTATGGTTGTGTCCATGATGTCTCCACAGGAGTCAACCTTAACTTGAAGGAAACTTTATCCCGCTCCAGCTCATTCACCCTGCCATAATTGTAATTCACAATTGTTACAGATGCCATAATTTGCATATCTTAAAATATATCAGTTCTTCCAGAGGTAAGAAGAACCTAATTTAGGATTTTGGTGGTTCTGCTGCCAGTCAACTGCACAGATTTTCCTTTCCATACGAACATCCCAGCAGATCTTTTCCTGGAGCAGTTGGGAATTTGGAAATATTTCATGGCTTCTTACAAGCTTTACCAATTGGCATCCAAGGCGTCCAATAGTTTGTGCCAAGGAGGAGTGGGCAGGCATGTGATTCAGCCTATGCTTTATAGTCTACGCTGGGAACAGGAATGCAAAAAGTTCATTTGCATGTTAACCAGCTTTAGTTCCAGCCATTCCCACCTATTAATATCCTCAGGAAAGAGATCAAAATAGGGAAGTAATTTATTACTGTAAGAGGGGATTGGCTTGGAAATGGAAAGATAATTCCTCCCCCCACTTTTTGCTTTGAGACCGAGAGCTGTGGAATTTGCTTATGAAGCTGGATTCACATATTGCACTAAGCCATAGATTATGAATTGTTTCAGTGGCTAGATTCACACACAAGGCTTAGTCAAAAACCGAAGTGAATCCAGCTATAATATGCATTGTTTCTTTTTGGTTTAAGAGATGCAAAACCCTTTTCATTCCATAGTCCACATTTAGTCTCTGGATAGCATGTTGAAGACCTACTCCAGAAATTGGATGAGGCTAGGACAAAAATGATGTGTGATTTGATTTAATAGCAATGTAATTAACATTAAATAATAAAAAAAATTAAATACAGTTAATTAATGCACATGGTTACTGATCAAATCTCATCTGCAATATTATGAACTCTTATGGACTCTCTACTTTAATTTTCTCTTATGTGTGGCAAACTAGAATATGTCCAGAGGAAGTTGGTGAGGGAACTAGACACCAAGCATCATGAGGACTTTTTTTAGGAGTTGAGTGTGTTAAGCCTGGAGATCTGATTATTTGAAGGGCTGTCAATATACTCAAGGAAACAAATCTTTTGAACAGAAGCTAGGAACCTAACTAGTGCTTTCAAGTAAAATAAAATTTAAAAACTTCATAACAGTTTTCATTGTTCAGCAGAGGAACAGATTTTATCAGAAAGGTAGTAAAGTTCCCTTTTTTAGAAGTTTTGATGCAAAATCTGACTAGTCATCTGTCAAGGATGCAGTCATAGTAAATTTCCTGTTTTTGCAGGGGATGGATGAAATGACTTTTGGGAGACCTTCCTATTATGCAACCTGATTAACACAGTTTGCTGCTAACCCATGTTTTACTTAATCATTGTTTGCTGGATTAACTGTAACTGAGTTCTGGCCAGGTGCAATTCAGAGTGCTAGTTTTGACCCAGAAGTTCCTGCAAGGTCTGGCATCTAGATACCTTCAAGAACATTTACTTCAACTAGTGTTGAGGCCTGACTGAAGAGATGCTCCTGGAGAAGCTGCTTGTGGTACTCCAGCTTTGTGTGGTGAGGGGGACTAAGCCAGAAAACTCTGTTTTCTGATCATGGCATCCATACTCTGGAACAGCCTCCTTCCAGAAGATAGGCTGGCCCCCTTGGTGGTGGTCTTCCAGAAGGTAGTGAAGAATGCACTCTTCTGGAAAGCTTTGGGGAGTGATTGTGAAACCAGATTTTATTAGTTAATCAATTAGTTTATTGGTATTAAGTATCATTTATTATAGTTTGGTTTTATTTGGATCTTTTTGATTTTATAGTGGTTTTATTGTGTTTCGTATTGTTGTAACCTGCCATAAATCAATAACAATTCAGTGGTATACACATTCAATAAATAAATTACAGGTAGTCCTCAATTTATGATGGCAGTTGGGACTGGAATTTCCATTGCTAAGCGCTGCGGTTGTAAAGTGAGACATCATGTGACCACATCGCTTAGTGACCGCAGTCCCGGCACTCCCAGTTGATGTCATTAACCAAGAATTGTGGATCATTAAGTGGAGGGAGTCCCAGGTAAAGAACACAGGGATGCCTCAGGGGGGTGTCTATCTCCCCCCCATCTATGCCCTTTGGGCTACCCTGCACATCAGCAGTCCTCAGAGGCAGCACTGGGGCTGTGGATGAAGTAGAAGTCCAGGGCCTTCAGCAGTCTCAGCTAGTTGCCCCCCCAGGCCTCTACTTTGGCTCCAGCACCATCACTGCCACTGAGAAAAGCTGCCTCAAGCCCCACACCACAGCCAGCCACCACAGCACCATTGCGCAAAGCCCCAGTTGCTCCCACCTCCCTGTGCTCCACAGACTCTGCTACACCCAGCTGACCTTTGCTGTTTTCCT